TCGAAAAGGAGGATCGCTTACGTTATACACTCCGTTCTTGTGTTCATTATTTCTCCATTCCATTCTTTCTTAATCCTTTAATTGCTGGTGTGGTTTATAAACGATATGTTAATTTTTGCTAATCATCAAATCAAAACGGCTTATATATCTGAAATAACATACTGAAATCTTTTAGAATAGAATATCGCTTCGATAATATAATTTAAAATTAGATTATAAAGTGCACACTTTATAAATCGGTCGGTATGCTTTTATTTTTTATCCTATTCTTGTCTTGATACAAGATAAAAGTTTCATTTCACTTTCAAAGTATATTTTTGTCAATTTTCCTTATAATATGGATAATCCTTATACTTTTTTCCAATTCCTCGAGAAAAAGGCGCGTTGAACAACTTGCATTGTTTACGCTTTATTATACGATACATTCTTACCTTGTATACTTTTTACAATTTATAAAATAATATAGAATTATCTATAGTATCATGATTTGATTTTCTTAAAATACTCTTTTTTTCTCGTTTTTTTTTTTTCGCGTTTAAAACGATCAGTTGTGCTCGTGCTCTTCTTATTTTATCCATTAGTTTTCTCCTAATTTCCAGACAACGAAAGAGGACCGTCCTTCGTGATGGCGCTTCTCCCTCCCCCTCCTCCTTCTTTATATCCTCGTGTAAGCAAGAGGAAATCGTGGAATGAAGCAGAGTTGCTCGAATTCGAATACTTTCAACAGTCGGATCGCGTCGCTTCGTTGCTCTGGCGCCAGATTTTAAAGAATCTCCGTTCCTTCGTTTGTGTATCGACGAGGATCGCTTAAACGAAATTCCGAGAGGGATTTTCGCGAGCAATTTGAAAAGCGGCGATGAAATTCCTCGCGACAAATGTTTGAGCGCCTACCTTTCCCGTATCGAGCACCTCCTCTTTCCCTCTATTCCTTAGATCCGTATCACGATTCTCGAGATACACCGACGTTACCTTAGGAATTCTCATACTTCGTTCTCGCCCGCTAGAAAGCGACGACCATTTAACACCCTCTCCTCCTCGAAGGCTTCGATTTGTCAAAGGGCTCGAATGTAAATAAATCGCACGTCCAATTCCTCGCCTCCCTGTTTCCATTCAATATCGCAGTCGATCTGTCGCGTGTCTCGCTTTATTACGCGCGTTTATAAAATCCTTCTCCTCGATCGGATGTTTCTCGAATCGAAAGAAAAAAAAAAAAGAAGAAGAAGCAAGTGGTGTAGCACCACCACCACGCCCCTTTTGAATATTTCCTTCCTGGACCTGACCAAGCCTTCGTCGGCCTTCTCTCCACCGTATACAGGAATACATTATGCACGGCCCCGGTGCAGAATTCTCCCGGTGTACGAAATTTCGCGCGAGCTTCACCATTTCCCACGGTCTCTCCTCGGTCCTACTCGAGGAACCGCGCGAAAAGAAAGCGATGGAACACGATGTTCCCCCTCTCCCTCTCCTTTCTTCCCTCAAAATTTCTCCGAGGTGTCGTTAAACGTGCGACGAATTCCCAGGGCATGCGACGCGTCGCGTAAACTGGTAAACGGATAGCGATCGAGATCGAGAGGTGGAGGGCTGTGGATGAGGGTTGGAGAGCGAGAGAACGCGGTTAAGAGGGGCCCTCGAGGGCGGATAAGACGGGGCTGGGACGAGGAAAGTGAAACTTGAAATTACACGCGACAGTGGAAGAAAGAGGAAGGGAGGAGGAGGAGGAGGAGGAGGGAGAAGATACGGTGTAACGGGCGGAAAATGGATGGCCCGTGGAAAACTGGTGATGGTGGAAAACACGTTGCTCTCTCCACCCACCCGTTCTTTCGGGGGGAGAGGAACGCAGAAGATGCCTCTGTTTTCTTTCGGCATCCAATTTCCATGGCATTATATTATGGACCGCTTACATCGAGGCGGTGTGTTTTCGCTTCGATTAAGATAAGTCGATCCAATCGACGTATGCGTTCGTTTACGCGTAGAAAAGGCAGAGATGATCCAGCTCGAGGTAGAGCGATAGTTGGATAAATGAAAGGCAATAAATAGATAGATTTGTTATTGAGAGATCAGGATTGATCCGACGTTGAAAAAGTAAGTCGATTAAACATTTCGAATATGTAATGTTGCTTTTAACGAATTATTCGTTAAAATACGTTCGTACTCGGATCGTTTGGTGATTACGATTATTCGCAATGGACTATTGTTTTAAATTTTAACTGCATCGAGCTGCGTTATTTCAAGAAAGTGTTGTAACGCGTGACACGTCCCTATCGCGACCAGAAGTGGTCTTTCCCTTCCCTCGTTTTCTCCCTTACCTACCCTCGAGGATATCCAGAGGATACCTGAGAGAAAACACTTTCCGCGCCTTTGGACAAATTGTGCGCCCATATTTTATTCGGAGACAAAAGGTCGGCATCCAGGTAAACCGCCAACGCTCGTCCCCCGGTGAAAATATTCAAGTCTCATATTTCCCCGTTATATATAAAACGCAAATTTTCTTAACGTTTTAAATAGCGCGCGAGATAAACCCGGCTGCACTGAGAATTCGTTTAACGTGGCGGCATAATTGCAACGCGTAGACAATACTACCTCGGCGACAACCGATTTCCCAGTTTTAATTCCAGATTAAACGTAACGTTTACGGAATATATGGAAAAAAAAAAAAAAAAATTACATACAAACGAGAATCCAAACGTGTTATTTATCTGCCAACTTTGAAAATTAGACCGAAGGGGGTGGGAGAGGAGGAGGAGGAAAGAAGAGGAGAGAAGAAAATCGATTAATTTATTTTAGCGAGGGAAAGATTTGGGCGAATAATTTTTCCACCGGCCAAATTCTTGCAACGTTACAATGGATCTTGGGGGACAAAAGCATTCGAATCACCGCGTGTAATTGCGGCAGGCGTTGGCACCGGAAGCCTCTTCTAATCCACGCGACAGTGTGTCCCCGTTGGAGCCATAATTCTCGCCCTCTTTGTGATACCCACGCTCGTAGGTTTTGTGTCGCGCGACACGGCTTATCTTCCTTCACCTCCCCCTCCTTGTTTCCCCCGCTGCAGTTTTTCCTTCGAGAAACATCGAGGAAAAGAAGGTGTGCGGTGGAAAATCCTCGCGACGGATAAATCCTCGGGGAGAAAGGAGGGTCGAACGAGGTTGAGAAGGGAACGTTTGTCGAAAAACAGGAATCTAATTGCCAGATCAAAGGATTTACAAAGGCGCATTCTTAACGACGCTCCTCTTTCCAAGGATCAGGCGTCGATCTCCCAGGATATCTCCCACCTTTCGTCTTGCCGATCCGAACTAAATACCCTTTCTCCCCCGATATTTTGACGTAATAATATCGAGGATTTGAGTAGATGATTCTCTGGAAAATTTTGCGATAAAGCGATGATAGAGAAAGATAGTCTTTACGCATAAATTCTGATAATTGAGTTGCATTTTCTCCTGTCTTCGATTATGAACAAATTATTCGTGATTCTCGCTCTGTTTGTTTCGTTATTAATTTAATCGATCCATAATGCTTGGATTCGATCGGATCGGAACCAACGAGTAAAACATTTTGATTTTCATTCCATAACGGATACGATGATAGTCGAGTGGAGCAATTTGTCGAACGATGGTATATCTAACGAGTTTAACACACAGAGTTTGCTCATCTTCCATAACCTCGAGTTACGTTAACACGTGCTTCCTGGTATAATCGTGTTAATCGTAGTAGTAGCTCGATTAAAGATCGAAGGGGTGGAGACGATGAAATTGGATTATCGGGGCGGGGAGGGGGGAGGGAGGGAGAGGGGCGAAATAAAATCGATCTTCGTCAAATACGTTAGAAAGTATAAATCGTTGGAGAGTATGTTTCTCGAACGCGTCGAGAAGGAAGAAGAAGCTCGCTCTCTCTCTCTCTCTCTCTC